CATCTTCCTCCTCCTCCTCCTCCTCCTCCTCCTCCTCCTCCTCCTCCTCCTCCTCCTCCTCCTCCTCCTCCTCCTCCTCCTCCTCCTCCTCCTCCTCCATGGACTCAACGCTTCATCACACCTAGCGATGATGCCTTCTATGTCCACCTACCCCACCCCTCTGGAAGAACCCCTACTTGAATTACCCCTACCCCTTTTTATCTTTTGAAGTACCCGGTTATTTAGAGAGTTTGAATGCACCCCTACCCACTGAATTGATAATACCCTTGCAACAGCTTGCAAATAGGATACTACTAGGGTGGTATCAGCACCCCTGGTCAAAAACCTGGTCTGACTAGGGGTACCAGAAGGGGAAATTCAGGGTGGGTCAAGTGAGAGGGAGGTGGGGGTGATAGGTTCAAGTGCACGAGCGAATGGGTAAGATTGAGGCAAAAATTCAATCTTTTAGGGTAATTTTCAAAATTACAAATAAATACACTTCAAATCAAACAACATGAAATTTTCAATTGGCTGGCATCTGAAATGACGAAAACTTGACCGTTACGCTTGTTTCTACTTCCGAGTTCAATTCGTAACCGTCCGGTACGGTCAGGCCCGCCGGCCCGCGCCGTTCAGTCACCGCCGTCACGGTGAGCCTGTCGGACCGTCACTGCTGAGGCTGCCGCAGTGCCCGCGGCCGCCACTTGCAGCCCGGCTGCAGCCCGGGCGGCCCACTGGCCCCGATTCACGGCCACGGCGGCAACCGTGACTCAGCCGCACTGAACTTCGGACTCGGACTCGGAAACTTTCAAGTTTCGATACTAGTGACTTGCCCGGCCGTGATTAATCCGGAACTAGCTTGTGTATGACTGAGATGGAGTCCTACTTAGTGCGGACCGTGCGCCAATCGGACCGCCGCCGTTACTAGTGAGCAGTGACCGTGGCACGTCCTACCGTAGTACAGTGGCGGCCTGGCCGCTGGCGGCACCCGGTCACTCAGGCCAGTGACTGTTCCGATCAGATCGGACTCCCGGACTAGCCTAAGTTCGTTTGGACACGGTTCAATGTTTGCCCTCACTGACTTGAGTAAAGAAGTCTTCTGGCAGTAAGTGTGGGGCCGCGCTCAACTCGTGACTGCGGCCGGGCCGCGCCAGCCGCAGTGAGCCCGGCCCGCGGCCGGGCCGGCTCAGTGAGACCCGGGCCCCGACCGGGTAGTTTGAGTCGCCGGTTGACTTCACAAGGGGGTGGTTGCCGAGTAAAACAGGGGGGGGGGGGGGGGGGGC